TTCTCTTTATTTATTCAAAGTATGTTGTTCTGTAAATGTTTTTAGGCCAATAAACGTTTTTCTTTCTTTCTTTCTTCTTTCTTTCACTATGTGACGCCCAATTTTGGGCGGAGCGAACGCTCGGACTGCAGTAAAAATCGTCTCATCGCCGTTCTATCTTAACTTATTTCTGTAGAATATCCCATCGCGAACTACATACTTTGGGGGTTCATGTGTGTGATCTGGGTGAAATTTGTGCATTCTTCCATCTTCAACGTAGATGGAGAAGCGAGCTTTGCAATGTTGATTCTTATGGCTGCTGCAGCGCCAGTATTCACTCTTCGCACTCTTTAGGTAATTGTAGAAAGTGAACCCATTGAGCAATGCAATCGATTTACCGGCATCTGTAGTCATCCATGACACTGAAAAAGTACATACATATATTGTCATAACAGACAGAGACAACAAGTCATTCATAGCAAACAGTCGTTCACAAGTTACGATTAATGTAATCCGTTTCTTTAAGTGAATATTCTGGTAGTAGTCTACACATAATATCTTTCTCGATATTTAAACGATGCTTGCTCTACAGTGGTGTCGATTCTGGCATGATTCTCTAAATTTTAAATTTAACATGAGTCTCATTTTCATTCTGTTTAGAAACTGTCAAAAATACACTCTTTTCAGATATAAGTTTAGGTTTAGAGAACCTGCCAGAATTAACACCAGTTTCTTGTGTATATTATGCAATGGTTATAGCACCAGGAAGCATACCGCCTATCGGTGCTATAACGCCTATTGCTTTGGTTATAGCTATCGCTTACGATTTTATTTTGTTATTTCTGACCGCAGAAGGTTTTCAAATGTCTCGCGCTCTTTTTTTCAATTTCTTGGTAATAACAATATTAAAGAAAATGAGCTTGCGGTAATTGCTACGACAGTGAGAGTACTAGCGTAATTTAAAATATCTCTAATGTTGGAAATAGTGTTAAACTCTTAATGAGTGTTAAATATAAAGAACAATTGTTAGGATTACTTTATTAATTTTAAAATTTAATTAATACGCCCTCTCGAACAATATAATTGGGTGGTTTGTGCGTGTGCTCTTGGTAGATTGTATGCAATCTGTTATCCTCACGGTTGATGGAAAAGCGAGCTTTGCATTGGTGATTCGGATTAGTACGGCTGCTGCAACGCCAAGTTTCATGTTTCGTAGATATCTTGCTGATGTAGTATGTGAATCCATTGAACAATGCAATCCTTTTACCAGAAACCGTAGTCAAAAATGACGCTGAAAAAAAACATCAGTTACAAACAGAAAAGTGAAAGAGGAACTTCGTTCCAATAAATTAGGAATACTTGGATTTTTCGTGATGTCCTTCGCGTAGTAGAGTAATGAGACTAAAGAGTATTGACCCCAAAGCACATTTTAAATTTTAAGGGGATATGTCATAGCTTGAGTTTATGTATCCATGTGTCTACCTGTAGCATCATAGCTCTAAAACCAATGGGCAGATTTTGCTGTGTCTCTTTCTATTTAAAAGGAAATGTCTTTGATCTGTGTCTATAGTTTGTGAAAACATATAGGTTAAAAAGTCACACGGCGATTCTTTTTTCTCTTTACATTCATAAGTCTAAGTTTGCCTACTGATTTTTGATGCCTTAAAATTACAATAAAAAAATACATATAACTACGTAGTTTTTACACACACAAAACATTTAATAAAACTCTTTTTAAAGAGATATGAAGCATAATTTGTCATTATTCTTGCTGTTTCGGGAGCTTTAACGCTCCTTGATCACAAAGACAGGAGATGATGGTCATCCTTTTATCGATTATTGATCGACTTAAAAATACTTCAGCAATCAATAATGATGAAAAAAGCAGTTTAAAAAAAATGGATACTTATTTTTTCTTAAGTCAATCAACCAAAAACTTACAAGGATAAAGCGCGTCAAAGCTTGAGAGTGTGGGCTCGTGACGTCACATCTAAGTCCAAATTGTACCAAGATGTGACGTCATGCGACATTTAAAATGTCTCTGTAAGTTTTTAATTATGTGGAACAGAAACAATACATGTCCAATATCTTAAATATTCCACTTACCTGATAGATGAAGAAATAAAAGTTGAGTCATCATAATATTAAATTTATTGTCATATTTACAATTTCTGTAATGGTAGAAACAATGTCATACAACATAATGAGTAAAACATCAAAACTAGGATTTTTAATAGTATCTTAAAATCTAATAAAAATGCCGTCGCGAATAACATATTTCGGGGGATTGTGCGTGTGCTCTTGAAAAATCTTGTGCAAACTGCCATCTATAAGGTTGATGGAAAAGCGAGCCTTGCACTGGTGCAGATGGTGAGTACGGTTGCTGCAGCGCCAAGTTTCAGTTTTCTTGCTTTTCAAAGAACTGTAGAAAACGAACCCATTGAACAACGCAATCGTTTTACCAGCACCCGTGGTCAAGCGTAACACTGAAAAAAAACATTAGATATAGACAAAAGTAAGTAAATAATTTAGCAATTTGTACTTGAATATTCCGTGTATGTGCCGGATCTATCGAATAATGAACAGAAACGAAACTGAAAAAACTTAAAGATTTTTTCTTGTTTGCAACAGATTAAGTATAAATAAAACGCACTGGATGGTTAAAAAGCGCGTATATTCAACTTATTTTTATATACATAATTAGCAACTTTTGAAGTGCCTTGGCTATAATAAAGACATGCTGATAAAGTGGCTTAATTACTTGATTATTAATAAAAAAAACAATAATATCTAACTTAAACTACGTAAACAAAAAGACTATAATATAAAACCCAAAAAACTTTAAATACCTACCACGTATTTTACAAAAAAAAAAGTGAAGTACGGCAACGATTCTTACAACGAATAGATTCTCTTATATAAGGCGAATACATGAGGTTACTTAAAACATGATGATATAAAAAATACACTAAAATTATAATTACATCGGTCATACTACACTCTTTGGAAGTGTATTCTCTATGGGGAGGCGCTTAGGGAACTTTGGGATAGTGTGAAGGTGCTCGAAGCAGGGCCGGGCCGGTCTACTTTCGCGGTCTGAAGATTTGGTGTGGACTCTAAAAGGCGAAGAGCAGAGGCAAAAAAAGAAGACACATTGAAATGGAGTCATAAGCACTACTTCAGAGTGCGCACGGGACGGCTGGAACGAGACGAAGGCGTTTTATAGAGCCAAGAAAGCAGTGCAGAAGCAGAAGGTTCATCCGGCCATGGGTGGTTAGTGGGATTTGTAATTAGACTCCTATTCGAACAGAAAAGTTATTGGTCTTTAAACCCTTTTAAAAGCATGTAGGTGCGCATTTTAACACTTAACAAAATGATTTGAATAAAAAATTACAATTTAACATAGACGCCGTCGTGTGTCACAAACGAGCGGGGCACATGCGTGTGCTCCAGATATGATCTGACGACTATTCCTTTCTTATTGGCAGTGAAGCGAGCCTTGCAAACCTTAGAACCCACGCTACACCTCCATGTCTCGGTCCGAGCACACATCTTGTGCTTGTAGAATGAGTAACCGCCAATCAGCGCGGTCTTCTTACCGTTGCTCTTTACCACCCAACGCACTACGAAACAAGAAATATATTAAACACCAAATTACAACAAAATTATACACTACAGATGAACTAATCGAAATATAGAAAACACCAAGTGCTTTCTTTTTCGCACTAAGGCGATGATAAGAATTTTACTTTCATAGCAATACCTTAGGTATTAGTTTTTGTCTATTAAAAGTCAATAATTTTTCCATTCTAGTATATATAACCGACACATTCAAAACAGATTTCAAAAGGTACAAATAATTTTATCTAATGAATGAATGAAACTAATGAATTTTAATATCACACGCATTTCTTTATTTCTATAAAATAAGTCCGCACTAGATGCGACCTTCGCCCATGTGTATAAAGGATGAAAAGTAGTTTATATTAAATTCAATATATTAGAAAATATGTCTCGAGTGCCTAAAACATTCCTGGCTAGACCATGATTAATTAAAAATTTAAAAATGACTGTTTATAAATATTGTACTCACGTGTTTAACAAAAAACAAAATACCAACCGAAGATATAAAGTATTGAATATACAAACATTGGGTTGTCTATTTATTTCCTTGCATTAATACTGAGTTGGCAGGTATAAACTGGCCAGGAATTTTTTAGGCAACCCACTCGAGTTATATTTTCTAATATATTAAATATGATATAAAATAATTTTCATCCATTACACAGATGGGTGAAGGTCGTTCCTGTTCGGATCTTAGACTAATACACGGTCTTGAACTGCATTATACAAACAGATTTTGTCACTTGATAAAACATCGAAGAGTTTCGCTTAATGAAAAATATAATACTTAAAAATAATTTGTATTTCAATTTCATCAGTATCAATGTATTAAATGACTAAAAAGATCAAAGGTCCTTCAATAAAAATAATAATATAAAGACTAGAATAAGAGATCATTGATTATTATTTTATATCACAAAGTAATATTATTTTCAGAGTATAGTACCATAGTAAAGGTCCACCTTTTTTAACACAAAACAATAAAAAAACATTAAATCGGAAAGTGATTTTAAAAAAAAAGATCTTTCAACCTCTCAGAAGAATAAATTAATAATTTGGAATGTCATCGTTAAAACAATGAAAATTAACAAATTACACATATGTTTTATAAAGCTCATGTATGTGCTATCATTTCATCTTTACATTTAAGTCTACAGACTTTATTGGTCCGTATTGTTTTTATATAAATTTGAATTTTTATGTACTTTATACAATATTGTTGCTCCGTGTGTAATTACTGGAGAATGTTATCAATTGCTTGACGACACAACCTCTGTCATTTATTAAAATAAATTTATAAGACGATCAACATCTAACCATCGAAACATGTTAAATCTCTTGAAAATTTACCAAACTACATTTCAATAAATTTCACAACAATCTCATTTCGGGATTCTTCAGATCTTGAAATAGACACCGTCTTGGACAACAAAGTTAGGTGGCTTGTGATCATGCTCCAGCCGGCCTCTGATGATCCTCCAGTCGGTCTTCGACATGGTGAACCTTGCTCTGCAGTTGGAACCGTTGGTGCAGCGCCAAATGTCCGTCTTGTGGCCTTGTTTGTTGCAATAGTAAGTGAAACCGTTGACAATTACGGCCGGCTTGCCATTCCTGTGCTGAACCCACGTCACTAAAATAATAACGCATTTGTTAAAGTCTAACCGTAGTTTTGGTAATCTTTCGTCATAGGCAAAGGTTAACACATAATAAAAAAAATCTTAATCAAATGAAATTGCTATATCTAGTTTAAAATAAGCTATTTAACTTGGAGTAGAGACCTTTTGACGACTTTACTTGATGTTGCATATTCGAAGAAGTTAACAATTTAACATTTGCGGAATTGCGATAACTCACAAAGCAAGACATTATAAGAAATAAGAAGAAGAATTGGACTGTCTGTAATTTTTTAAATAGAATCGCTAGCATTACACTCCGATGGTTTATTCCTTATATCAAGGTAGTGAATAAAAAAATTAAAGAAATGATTTTGATGATTCTATAATTTAAATTTCACTAAAAGTATTGCCATGTAAAATGTTGCCATAAACTAAGAAAAATTATCATATCTCATGTAGAGCCAAGCTTCTAACTGTATAAGGCTAACTTCACAAACTCTACACCTTAGTCAAAATATGTGGCTTGGCAGTTTCGTTACAGTAATAACTATTGTTTAACAAAAAAGTAATGAACATAGGATAATTTTTTCACCTTACGCCCATGTGAATGTAGAGTAATGGCCCAGCCTGAAGAGTGGCGTGTAGAGTAAGAAACTTTGCTCTACCTGAGATTTTTAGATAGTGCGAGTCGTGTGGCTCAGCAACATTTAATGTTTATGGTGGGATGAAAATGTTTAAGGTGGGATTTAAATAATATAATCATAAAAATCACGAATTTGAATTTTCTTATTGTATATAACATATTTTTAATAATATGATAGAATTGTAAGTATTCAAAGAAGTTGTAGATATTGGTGGGATTGCTACCACATGCCTTGTTCTTTGTGAGTCTCCAATATTTCGGCACTGTTGTAAGCGCCATGATCAAGGAGTAACTGATGTAATTGCGGGTAGATGTTATTGGCAAACATAACGATCTGTCAATCAGTCTTCTATTTTTTCCAATTTCATCGTTTCCATTTCTTTGTCACAATATTAAGAGGTTATTATTATATACGACTTATATTTGTTTTTATTTTCAGCCAAACTTGTAACTAACTTAACAGCAACATTGTCCTAATGTAAAAGCGAAGACAATCTATTATCTTATGTGAATTCTATTTAAATGATTGACACAGCTTTAAATAAACGCCATTGCGTATGATGTAATTTGGTGGCGCGTGATCGTGATCATTGGCCGACATAGTAATGATCTGATCCGGGTCTAACGAAACAAAAAAATGAGCTTTACAACTTCCGCCCCTCGTGCAACGCCAGTAATCTTTCTTTCTATTGCAGCTTTTTCTCGTGTTGCAGTAATAAGTGTAACCATTTACTAAAGCGAGCATTTTGCCAGCGGAGTTACGAATCCATTGCATTTCTGAAATACACGAATAATAATATTACAGTTATTATAATTAGTATAACATTTCATCTCCAATACCATACAGATACCAGATACACCAAAGACGGTCATTGGAAATTGTATTATTACATAATATCCAATAGCATAGATTAGGTTTTCTTCTAAATTTTTCAAAACTCCTCAGTGTATCAGGATGTAATCAAAGCTCCTTTCGCTGATCGCGTAAACGTACTATTTTTTTTGCCCGACTGCGCAATGCAATAGCGCGACGCGCAGACAGTGTATAGTGTTTAACAGTCTATACACAGCGTCCCACGGCTACCTCACATTAAATATTGAAGATAGGTTATTTTGAAAGAAGACATCATCTTATTTTTAATAATAACTAGATCTGCATTCACAGTTTTTTTTTAATCGCCTGCTACAACTGGGAATGAAACTCGTGAAATTTCGAAAAAAAATACAATATATTAAATATTTAAAACTAATTAATATTTAAAAACCACAATAAATATATTTTTTCCACAACGCTACCAAAAGTACTAACGGCAACGGCTTCTGAGTCGCGCTAACGTTATGTTTTTATAAAAAATACTTTGTAAAAAGCACTTGAAAAATCAAGGGGATGAAGCGCTTCAGATGAAGCTTTTAGTCAGTAAGAGTCTGACATAACCTTGCAGCCGGCTGTAGGGTATACATGAGGATTTCACAAACGCTCCCTTTGCAAGACTTTTACTGTCGACGCAGATAAGTAATAATATATCATCATCATCATCAGCATATTAATGGGCCTGTGCCCATTAATATGCTGATCCATAGAGAAGGCCTGTGCCTTCTCTATGGATGGAATAGGGAGATTGGGCCATGACCCACCACGTGGACCCGGTGCGGATTGGTGGGTGCTAACGACTGCAGATGCAGCCGGGACCAACGGCTTAACGTACCTACCGAAGTACGGAGGAGCTCGAGATAGTAGTTTTTGGTTACCCATCCAATGAACGACCACTGCGAAAGTTGCTTAAGTTCAACGATCGCAGCCGAATGCGCTAACCACTTGCGCCATTGAGCTCCTCAATTATTATATTAGTAATAATTTATAGTGATATTTAAAAAGATTTCTTACACTCAGTATTTTAATTATTACAGCCTAAAGAAAATACCATTGCGTATGATATAATTCGGAGGCGCATGATCGTGATCTTTGGCCGACATTGTTATTATCTGCTCCTGGTGTTCGTCCTGCGATACAAAGAACCTGGCTTGACAGCTCCCGCCTTTAGTGCAACGCCAGAAAACTTTTTTGCTCCTGCTACTTTTTCCCGTGTTGCAGTAGTAAGTGTAACCGTTTACCAAAGCGAGCGTTTTGCCAGCGGTGTTACGAATCCATTGCACTTCTGAAATATACAATTTCATAGTAACTATAATATCCAACTGCATGGTTGGGTTTATTTGTTATTTTTTCAAAATTACAAAGTTTACCTGGCTGTAATCAAAGCACCTGGTAAGTGGAACCAGGTAAACGCACCAATCTTAAATGGTATCAGAAACGTAACGTAAGGTATTTTGGGTGGTTAATGATCATGTGCATGGTCCAAAATTTTGATGGAGTTGTCCGCCAATATGAGAAAAGTCACTGAAACGTCTTCTACGAGTATTTGTGCAAAGTCTGAAAACTTTACCCTTTTTATGTTGCTCTGTTAAGTGTCAACACTGACAAATTTATTGAATAATGGGCTTATGGGAGAAAAGCTCCCAGAAGACATCAGAAGGACCACCACGAACCAGAAAACTTTAAGAATAATTTGCAGATATCTATGGTCGACGGTGATGATTAATTACCATCCGTTGAGCTGGCTGCTCGTGTGCTCCCTATTGAAATAAGGTTATAATAAAATAAATATCTGAGATGTTAAGCCTTTGTATGAAGAAAAACGTCCCAATCAAGCTTGGCCTACATTATTTAGAATGATTCGAGTCCAGCCTATTTTCAAAAAAATACATGATAATTATTTAATGTGATTTAGTAAACCTTTTAACCGTTTTTTATGAGAGTTTGATCAATAGAATAAGAGAATGTAGATTTTTCTCAAAAATATAATAATATTCTTTATTGTATAACACTACAAAGGTCACAAAGTAAGATTACACTGACAGAGAGACATTACACAATGGGTGGCCTTTTTGCTAAATAGCAATCTCTTCTAGGCAACCCATGATGGAAAATGAAATAAGTATATAAGAACAAAAAATGATTACAACTTAAAGTAAACATCATTGCGTATGATGTAATTCGGTGGCGTATGACAGTGATCTTTGACTACCATTGTCATGATCCGTCTATCCTGACCCTGTTCCTGCGTAATAAAAAAATTTGCTTTACAGCTCCCGCCTCTCGTGCAACGCCAGAAAACTTTTTTGCTCTTGCTATTTTTTTTCGTAGTGCAGTAGTAAGTGTAACCGTCTACCAAAGCGAGCATTTTGCCAGCTGAGTTACGAACCCATTGCACTTCTGTAATAAACGATTTCATAATTAGTATAAATTCTCCAATTTGACTTCGATACAAACACGATAATTGGATATTACAGCATAACATATATCCAACTGTAGTAAGGGTGTTTTACTTGATCTTTTAAATGGATTACCCAGTGTACTTCTGAAATCCAACCGCTTAGTTAAGTGGCTTCACTTAAAAATGTTTCAAAACTCCGCAGCGTACCAGGATGTGATCATAGCACCTCTCGCTGACCAGGTAAACGCACTAATTAGATAAATTCGAAACCGTAACGGTAAGTGAGTATTCCTTCCTTAAGTGTCGCTGCACACGGGCCACACGCCACAGCCACAAACGCTGCCACGAGAAGTTAGAAGCGGCTACTAAAATGGCTGAAGCGCGCGACAGCGGCCAACTAAGGTAAGGGAGAGAGGGGTGGGGAATCGCGCGAGTGTCGTGTGGCGGCGTTTTGTATCGGCGCATTAAGTGGCCGGTGCGGGCCACAAGAAGCGAGCAAACGACGATATGTAGCGTGTGGCGGCCACCGGCGTACCGTGTGTGGCGAGTCCATATAACATGTATGAAAACTACAAGAAATATGCCGGTGGCGACGTTTTGTGGTTGTGGTCGATGGCCCGTGTGCGACGACACTAACGCATTTCTGACACTTCTGGTGTTGCAGATATCTATGGGCGACCGACGGTGATGGTCGTTTACCATCAGGTGAGCTGACTGCTCGTGGGCCCCCTATAGTATAAAAAAACGAGTGTGCTTATGACCACACGACTGCACCATCGAGCTCCGATGTACAAGTACGTCCGGAATAAACTCAAAAAGTACTGCATGAATTTACTTCAAATTTAGCACGAATATTATTAAGAAGTCGGGTCAACATATAGGCTACATATTATTACGCTATCACCTACGGGGAAGGAGCATTGAACCTTTATATCTAACTAACTCCAAGCGTACGAAGTCGCGGTCGGCCGCTAGTACATATATATTTGTGTGTACAATATATACATGTATGTACATATACATATTTCATTTACTAGCTATAAGAGAAAGAGAGAAAGGAAATGTGCGTACGCACTGTTTTCTTATATCCCCCGCTGAACTGCTGTTCGCCTCGCCCGAACACACTTTTCGTAACGCACGTATTTGCCCGCTTACCCCCCAAGTCAAGCATGCTTAAAGAAGTTTCACTTCGAAAAGTCTGTAGTGTTATGATATTACATTAAGCAAAACGATTTCAATTTATACACAAGTAGACTATTTGTTAATGAAATCTGAGCGGAATCGTAGCTTTAAGAAATAAATAAAGTGTTAATGAACAGGATGTTGGTAGTATGACCAATTTTTTAGCTGAGCATTCTTCAGATGCCACTAAAATTGTTATCAATTTTGCAATTTCTGGTATTAGTTTGATTTAGTGAATAAAATTTGGCTAAGGTGTAGCTGGAATGATCGAATGTGTAGATCAAAGCTTCTAAATAAATAAAGTATAAAAAAAACATAACTAAGAATAAGTCGAGTCCAGCCTTTTTTTCAAAAAATACTTACCTACAGATATATAGTGTAATTTTGTCAAAATGACAACAAATTTTAGAGAGGTTTCATCAATAGAATAAGAGAATGTAACTTTTGTCAAAATTTATATTTTCATCACACTTATTTAATTACCAAAATAAAATAAAATTATAGGTATACCTATAATTTATTTTAACACTTATAACTAACTTAACATAAACAATTTTTAATTCAATAGCGAAGGCAATCTATTGCTCTGATCTTATTCTATTTAAATGATTACAACCTAAAGTAAACGCCATTGCGTATGATGTAATTCGGTGGCATATGACAATGATCCTTGTCCGACATTTCTATTGTTCTCCTGGTCTGGCCCTTTTCCTGCGAAATAAAGAACCTGGCTCCACAACTCCCGCCTCTCGTGCACCGCCATAAATCTTTCTTGATATTGCGACCTTTCCTCGTGTTGCAATAGTAAGTGTAACCGTTTACCAACGCGAGCATTTTGCCCGCGGAGTTGCGAATCCATTGGACTTCTGGAATAGAAAATTTAGTAATTAGTATATCATTACAGCTGATCTGTAGCAGCTCATTTAAAATTAAAATTCAAATAAAAAATCATGATAATTAAGCTAATAGCGAATGTAATAAGTGGTGTTTCAGATATCTATGGGCGACAATGATGATCACTTCACTTACCATCAGGTGAGCCAATCAATCGTGTACCCCCAATAGTAAAAAATGTCTGTGGTATTGTGATCTTGCATTAAGCAGAAACAATAGAATCAGCCTCGGGTTACTCAATACAAGATATTTTGTTATAATTTTATTTATTTTTACTGGGGATTGATGAATACAATGGAAGAATGTCGCATTTTGTTTTACATTTATTAAACATAACCTTTACGTTACATTCTGTTTTAATACTAAACTATTCACAAGTCCACAAAATAACTTTCTTGTCTTTTATTTGATGAGTCTTGTCTGATTGTTTACATCAAAAATAAGCAGAAAGCTCATTGTTACTTAAAAATAAAATTTGCTTTGATCTTGTACTTGTTAAAATCATAAATAAGAACATATGATTTTTGTAGTAGGCTGAGGAACTTTTAATAAGCAAGAGAAAGAAGTGCAGATGGATGTCGGGTATGGAACAGGAAACAGTAGAGCAGTCACTCTGTATGTGTGTGTAGACACATTTTAGAGAAACGACGTATTTAGTGAGTCTTCCAAAATGAGTAAAAGCTATGTGAACTCTGTTTACTATATATGTATTATATATCTATATGCCCTACCGTTTCCCGACAGTCCAGCTTTATTCCATCTGCCAGGTCCTTTCAATACGCAAATTGTTCGTATTAAAACTTATTGAAACAACGCATCGACACACGCCGTATGACCGAACAGATATCTCTGATACACGACGAAAACATCAAGTCTGTACAATAAAATTAACAAAAATTTCAAAATCCACCAAATGCAGATGTCGAAAATGAAGAGAGTAGTCTCAAATTGGCTACTTCTACTAGATTATGACACTACAGAAAAATTATTAAAAACTGCTATTTAATTCGTGAAATAGGTAATTATATAATGTACGTAATATAATTCCACAAACAATCACTATTTTATTTATTGTATAATATAAGGTAGGCTGTTTTTCTCATACTAGATAAATACACGCGCACACGCACACACAAACACACACACACACACATAAACACAACACACACTTGCTAGATTTTAAATATAAATAGAAATTTAAGCGTTATCCAGTGAACCCGCATTTCCTAATAAATGGCGGTAACGGTCTTGTTTTTTTTTCTTTCTTTTGCTTTGATATTAATTCAACATGGTTCTGTAACATTCAATGTAACATTTACATATTGTACTCTCGCTTATAATTTAGGGTAGATCACAATAAAAAATGTAGTATGCAAAAGAATCTTTAGCAAGCAAACGGGTTTTAAGAGGTTTTGAGCCTGGGGGTCGTAACACAGGTTTTGTAACCTAGTACAATCTCCAGCTCTCTCAAAGAACTGCATTGTTTTACCATTATTGTAATTCAATACCCTTTTGTAATTATAATGTTACTTTGTGACTTTGTGAGAGAAATAAACAAATCATTCATTCAAATCATTCATTCATTCATTTATTCAAATCATATATATATTATTTATACATTTGTGGAGATTTTATTAAATCGAAGTCAAAAATGTTTAGTTAATCCTGTAGCAAAAGACTTAGTTAAGCCAATTAAGCCTATAATGTTATCTGTCATGTTACTTTGACTTAGTAACTTAGTTTGCGCCAGTGCGCCCTGATAATCATCGTATATCCATTTCTGACTTACGAAATATTTGTTTGCCGTAAAATAGAACAGAGCACGATCCGACTTTACTATCACGATACATC